GCAGGAATGTGACTTCCTTGGCTCCTTGTTCCTTCACCCTCCTCTCTCTGGTGCTGTGTAAGCCGGGAGAAAATGACCGGATGTCACTTCCTCAGAGTACTGCTATTGTGACAGGGGCCTGGTCAGGCATTGCAGCCCTTTAATAGTGTGACCAGGCTCCTGTCACTGATGCCCATTAAGTGCCCATGTGTTTGAGTGCAAGGGACTTCAGATTGCCCCCCCAAACACCAATAAGGTAATCAAATAATATGTTTTCTTCCATTTGATAAAGCCCTAAGGGGTGAAACATGTTGTGGTTTTATTACTTCTTTGTTTAATAAAAGTATTATTTGGTGTTAGCCATATACTTTTCAGGATTTTTTATTTTTATTTTTTTTACCTGGCACGTATATTTATCACCTAAAGCACCAGCAGACAACCATCAAAAGAATCCTAGGTGGGGATTATACCACCAATGCCTGTTACATAGAGCGGTTAGTCTGCTCTTTTTATTGTAAGTATATTTCCTATTACTATTTATATTAACCTGTATGGAGAGCACTGTTGGCTTCTTTTTTCTTTTACATATGATCTATGCCACCACTACCCAGTTGTGAATTACCATCAGAGGGATATCCTGCAAGTGGGAATTTTATACCACTGCATGCTGTTTCACTTAGAGCTGGTTATAGCTCTGTTATATTCAAGTTGGCATTTTTTAGACCTCAGTGTTGTTAGTAGCAGATCTTATTTGATATATCGGTTCCTTATGTTTCATTTTTTATGTGTTATTGCATAGTAAGACCACTTACTCTTATCTCACATATATATTATTATTATTATTATAGACAAATTTACCACCCTAACTCCTCCCACAGTTTTTACACTACATAGACAATAATATAACGAAACGTGCAGATTGTTCCCGATTGGTGTGCTATTACTTTGTGGAACGTTTCGCCAAATGGTTCACGAAATATCGTTGTTTTTGTTGCAAAATTGGTCCCATAGGAATGAATGGCAATATGTTCAAAACTAGAGTGGGAGCTGACAAAAGCTAGAGTGTGAGCTGAAAAATCAGGACATGATTTTTAAACTGCCACCACTCCCTCATTTTCAAGCCCACCTACAAAAGTAGTTCTACACAAAACGTTCAGCTATCTCTGCTACCACTAAACATATCCACCGCTAAGCAATAGTGATGTCGCGAACCCGAAATTTTCGGTTCGCGAACGGCGAACGCGAACTTCCGCAAATGTTCGCGAACCGGCGAACCGCCCGAAACGCCATTGACTTCAATGGGGAGGCGAATTTTAAAACACACAGGGACTCTTTCTGGCCACAATAGGGATGGAAAAGTTGTTTCAAGGGGACTAACACCTGGACTGTGGCATGCCGGAGGGGGATCCATGGCAAAACTCCCATGGAAAATTACACAGTTGATGCAGAGTCTGGTCTTAATCCATAAAGGGCATAAATCACCTAACATTCCTAAATCACAATGGATATGGATTGACACCTGACATATGACATATTGACACTTGACTGTCCTCAGAGACCCTGATACACACTGACACAGAGCAGAATAGAGACTGTTCCTCCTACATAGGGTCACTTGGCAGATATGGATTGACACCTGTCCTCAGAGCCCCTGATACACACTGACACAGAGCAGAATAGAGACTGTTCCCCTACATAGGGTCACTTGGCAGATATGGATGACACCTGTCCTCAGAGACCATGATACACACTGACACAGAGCAGAATAGAGACTGTTCCTCCTACATAGGGTCACTTGGCAGATATGGATTGACACCTGTCCTCAGAGACCATGATACACACTGACACAGAGCAGAATAGAGACTGTTCCCCCTACATAGGGTCACTTGGCAGATATGGATTGACACCTGTCCTCAGAGACCATAATACACACTGACACAGAGCAGAATAGGGACTGTTCCCCCTACATCGGGTCACTTGGCAGATATGGATTGACACCTTGTTACAAACTGCTATTTGTAACGGGCCCTTTAAATGGCAAATTGCCCTGCTTCCCTGGGTTGTGGAGAAGCCTATTTGCCAGCCTCCTCCCGCATGACTATGGCCCCTGGGAGATTGTGAAAATGTATGCACTTTTATTTGGTGTGTATGGCCCTTTAAGACTGTCGGTGGGCATATTGGGGCTTATGGACTCTTTATGTGACTGGTGCTGGCCCTTTAAACACCTTTTTTGGGACATCAGGAAGATTGGGACACTGCCCCTTTAAGGCCGTGTCCCCAGACTTGTTGGGGACACTGCCCCTTTAAGACACTGTCCCCAGACCTGGTGCAAACCCTTTGTGCCTGCCTGGCTAATTCCCACTTGGTTCAGTAAATGGGGCTTACTGAACCAAGTACCACACAGGCAGACCACCCAGAAGTGGAAGTGTGCAGGCAATTTACCTCCCAGAAGCTGCGGTTAACCGCAGCTTAATTGACAATGCTGGGAGGTCTTTGTTCGTTTGCCGAACACGTGGCGGCGGCCAACTTTGATCATTCGACGAGGTCAGCGGTATGTGTAGCCAAATTCATGGAACTAAAATCGACTACACATTTCCGCGAACACCGCTGAGCTCTACCTTCTCCCCTACTTGTTTTACAGCTGCAGAGACTAAGTCCCATTCGGCGATGGGACTTAGTCTTTTTTTCAGCCGTTTTTTTCAGCCTTGTTTCAGCTGCAGAGACTAAGTCCCATTCGGCGATGGGACTTAGTCGTTTTTTCAGCCTGAAATAGACCGACCTCACAGCCCAAATCTATGGAACTGTTTTGGGCAGGAAAATGTGCTTGCGGTCAGTCATAAAGGGACCTCCAGCTAACTTTTTAACCCCTGGATGGATTTGGCTGATTTTTTGGTTATGTTTATGTTTTAAGTGTGCTGATTCCAAATATGTAATTATGAAGATGGGATGTGTAGTTTTAAAGTTACAGGGTATGGCTAAAAACTGTATTTTTACTGCCTGTGTTTAATTATGTTAATCTCTTCCCAAACGTCATTTCGTTCAAAGTGGAGAGAATGTTAAAAAAAAATATTTTTGTTCTGAGTGTGAGAAATGCTTTTCAGCAGCTTCTAATCTTAAGCATCATTTGAGGAGCCATACAGGAGAGAAACCTTATTTGTGGTGTGTTTAGTATTGTTCTGATCAGTTTAATACCTTCCGCGTCTCCTATCAGTGGACGTGTATATGGCAGCCATTTTAGGAACCGTACACCTGGGACCCGAGCAAGGTCACCTCGTTCAACAGGCTTGCAGCGTATCCTCCAGGAAGAAGAGCCTGAACCCTTACCGGCTGCACGTGTCTTACCTGTACATGGAAAGCTGCTCTGGTTCCTTGATGAGCCAGCTGCCCGTGAGTTAACATGTCCCGTGGAGAAGCACTCTGTCCTGTAAAGCCTCACCAAAAAAAGGAGTGGTGTGTTTAGTATTGTTCTGATCAGTTTAATACCTTCCGCGTCTCCTATCAGTGGACGTGTATATGGCAGCCATTTTGTCAGATTCAAGTTCTTGTGCCCCACAGTTCAAAATAACATTCAAATGACAATTCATGACAGATCACACAAGTGAATAGCCCTGCCAACGTCTTCTCAGAATTTTTTTGTTTTCTATGAAGAAATAGAAATGCAAGAGCAGAATAGAGACTGTTCAGTTTAATACCTTCCGCGTCTCCTATCAGTGGACGTGTACACGGCATTGATTTTTGTAACAGGGAGATGGAAGAAGAGGCTTGGTCGGTCCTCTTACTGCAAATTTGGGGCACTGCGCGGTCAAGCTAATGTGACACCAGATAGGAGTGGTGTGTTTAGTACTATTTTTATCAGTTTAATACCTTCCGCGTCTCCTATCAGTGGACGTGTACACGGCATTGATTTTTATCTAAGCCGTAAACTTTTGCATAGCGAAGTAGATTCACTGCCATTGAAAAGGAGTGCATGGCGGTGGTGTGGGCCCTCAAAAAGCTGCAACCTACTTGTATGGACAACCGTTTACCTTACTCACAGATCACAACAAATTTGGGGCACTGCGCGTGCAATCTAATGTACCACCAGATAGGAGTGGTGTGTTTAGTACTATTTTTATCAGTTTAATACCTTCCGCGTCTCCTATCAGTGGACGTGTACACGGCATTGATTTTTGTAACAGGGAGATGGAAGAAGAGGCTTGGTCGGTCCTCTTACTGCAAATATGGGGCACTGCGCGGTCAAGCTAATGTGACACCAGATAGGAGTGGTGTACATACATAAAATGGGTGGAGCTTCTCAAAATAACAATGTAACAGATATTCTGTAAAATAGAATATAAACCATAGTGCAATACAGTAATATAAATAAAATGAAAGTATATATGTAGCAGGTATTCCACTCACAAGCCTAGAGTCATAGTTTCATATGACTCAGATGATATATGCCTTTGGACCAATTTAGGATGTCCAGATCCTTCTTTCTTGCAGGATTCCGTCTGTGACCACCTTTAACCAATTTCCAGACCAAAAGATGTCAGGTCAACAGTAGGTTTCTAAAAGGTTGGTGCTTTATTTAAATAAAAAATCTTTTAAAAGAAATAAACATTTAAAATCAAAGTAACATGAAACAACTTTAAATGGGGCTATATAGTCCTTGGTAATCGCCAGTGGTGTGTTTAGTACTATTTTTATCAGTTTAATACCTTCCTCGTCTCCTATCAGTGGACGTGTACACGGCATTGATTTTTATCTAAGCCGTAAACTTTTGCATAGCGAAGTAGATTCACTGCCATTGAAAAGGAGTGCATGGCGGTGGTGTGGGCCCTCAAAAAGCTGCAACCTACTTGTATGGACAACCGTTTACCTTACTCACAGATCACAACAAATTTGGGGCACTGCGCGTGCAATCTAATGTACCACCAGATAGGAGTGGTGTGTTTAGTACTATTTTTATCAGTTTAATACCTTCCGCGTCTCCTATCAGTGGACGTGTACACGGCATTGATTTTTATCTAAGCCGTAAACTTTTGCATAGCGAAGTAGATTCACTGCCATTGAAAAGGAGTGCATGGCGGTGGTGTGGGCCCTCAAAAAGCTGCAACCTACTTGTATGGACAACCGTTTACCTTACTCACAGATCACAACAAATTTGGGGCACTGCGCGTGCAATCTAATGTGCCACCAGATAGGAGTGGTGTGTTTAGTACTATTGTTATCAGTTTAATCACTGTTACGTCCCCTATCCATTGATGTGGAGCAAGACGCAGCAGCAGAAGAGGACTAAGCCGAGGAGGTTATGGAAGAGGATGGAGTAGGAGGAGTAGAGGAGGTGGCAGCGTACTGGCAGAGTACACGCTGTAGGGCTGACACACCTGCTTGAAGATAACTAACTGCTATTCAATCTATAACAGTGAAAAAAGTTTTTTGTTTTTAAATCCAAGTTATTGTGACACCAGTGAGTGAGTGGTGGCACTGGGCACAGTATCCACTGTGAGCCTGACACACCCGCTTTGAGACAACTAACTGCTATTCAATCTATAATTGATGTTTGTTTCACAGGCAGAAAGTGCCCTAAAACATGGCAGCATGAACCCTAGTTGGTGGCGGATAAGTCACGCAAGTCAACCGGCATTCAGAGCTAAAATACAGCAGAGTGTGGACCATTTTTAGCCCAAGGCAGCTCATCTCATCAGGCCTTTTTTACATAGGGTCACTTGGCAGATATGGATTGACACCTGTCCTAGGGATCCCTGATACACACTGACACAGATCAGAATAGAGAATGTTCCTCTACATCCGGGTCCAATTGCTTGAATATGGATTGACACCTGTCCTCCAGAGACCATGATACACACTGACACAGGCAGAATAGAGAGACTGTTCCCCTTAGGGTCACTTGCTTGATATGGATTGACACCTGTCCTAAGGATCCCTGATACACTGATACACACCTACTTAGATGGGTATAGACATTTTTAGCTGTACTCCTGGCCCGAACACACAATGACCCACATAGAATAATAGACCGGATTATAGGAGTCGGACTGACCCTAAAAACAGTAAGTGCATATAGGAGCGATGTAAAAACCTCCCAAGATAGTAGTATGGGCCCCAGAGTGTGAACAGGCCTTCCAACAGCTCAAGGCATTAAATCACCTGTACTTTCTGCTCCTGATCCAACTAAACACTTTCTCGTCCATACAGACGCTTCTATGCTTGGATTGGGAGCAGTACTGAGCCAAGTCGGAGCAGATGGTGGCGAGCAACCCGAGGCTTATCTAAGCCGTAAACTTTTGCACAGCGAAGTATATTCACTGCCATTGAAAAGGAGTGCATGGCGGTGGTGTGGGCCCTCAAAGCTGCAACCTACTTGTATGGACAACCGTTTACCTTACTCACAGATCACAACAAATTTGGGGCACTGCGCGTGCAATCTAATGTGCCACCAGATAGGAGTGGTGTGTTTAGTACTATTGTTATCAGTTTAATCACTGTTACGTCCCCTATTCGTTGATGTGGAGCAAGACGCAGCAGCAGAAGAGGACTCAGCCGAGGAGGGGTTATGGAAGAGGATGGAGCAGGAGGAGTAGAGGAGGTGGCAGCGTACTGGCAGAGTACACGCTGTAGGGCTGACACACCTGCTTGAAGATAACTAACTGCTATTCAATCTATAATTGATGTTTGTTTCACAGGCAGAAAGGGCCCTAAAACATGGCGGCTTGAACCCTAGTTGGTGGCAGATAAGTCACGCAAGTCAACCGGCATTCAGAGCTAAAATACAGCAGCGTGTGGACCATTTTTAGCCCAAGGCAGCTCATCTCATCAGGCCTTTTTTAATCTAATGTATCACCCAGTGTCAGTCCCTTCGGGATCCATCCCTCATTCATCTTAATAAAGGTGAGGTAATCTAGACTTTTTGACCTAGGCGACTTCTCTTCTCAGTGACA